GTAAAAGAGACATGTGAATGAACATCACACACACACACACACACACACACACACACACACACATATATACACGAGTGTGCGTATATGTGCGTGTGTGTGTGTGTGTGTATATATATATGATCCTCCTTCCACAGGCTGGAGCCCCCTGCACATGGCTGCCTTCACCGGTCACACGTCGGTGGTGACGGCGCTCGTGGCTCAAGGGGCAGATGTGAACGAAGAGGACTGTCAAGGTAAGGGCCTTTGGATGTCGTGAACGTAATGAAGCTGAGTTGTTCGTACTATGATACTATCGAACAATAGACGTGCTTTATTTTGCGTATGTCTTAGGCAAAGGGGAAAAAAAAAGGATAGGTATTTATAGGTGACGATGTTAGTAGAATATAAGGTCAGTTTGAGCTGTTTCCGTATAGTGTGTCGAGGAGTTTCAGTTTAAATCACCACGCCGACAGTATAAGGAATTCGATCTAACAGTACAACTGAATGGCGATAAAAATTAGCTTTTCGTTAATGAAATATTTTACATCTGTTTCCACCGACTCAACTAAGCTGCCGTCATGACCTGCGCTGATCTCTCTTTCAGTTTCTACCCTGTCACTGAGTAGCCATAGCAGGTCATCGGATTTTATTGATATTAATTGTAATAAAAGGTTTATAAATAACTTCAGGTTCAAGTTTCACGTTTCATGTTACGTGAGACATTTGTTGTTTAATTTTGGCAGGGTGGGGGTGGGGTAATAAAGTAGAACACTTCTGATATCTATTTGCATATGGGTTTTGTCACTTCTCTTTGATCAAACCTATCTTTTTAATGAATTAATGTATGGAGATGGAACGAATGAGGGAAAGAGAGATGGTGAACTCTTCAATTACCCGAAGGAAGACAACGGGAAACCACCTTCGTACACTCCCTTGTACAACCATGGAATTAAACATGGTCGCCAACGTCAGGCTCTGATACGGCACTAAAAAAAAAAAAAAAAAAAAAAAAAAAAATGTATGGAGAACATTTTAAGCATATCCCTACTTACATACTTACATAATTACTACTTATATATATTATACTTTAGTTCATATCCCTATATCTGTGAACCATGGGTGACATTTTCATAACACCTAAATCAAATACTGAAAGATATTACCGTGACAATCATCACCAGTGAAAATGTAAGGGATATAATATCGAAAGATTTGTGCGTGAAAATTAAAAGTTACTGATGTGTGCTTGTGTGTGTGTGTGTGTGTGTGTGTGTGTGTGTATGTGTGTGTGTGTGTATGTGTGTGTGTGTGTGTGTTTGTGTGTGTGTGTGTGTTTGTGTGCGTGCGTGTGTGTGTGTGTGTACTGTGTGTTTGCGTACGTGTGTTTGCGTGCGTGTGTGTATTTGTGTGTGTGTGTTTGCGTGCGTGTGTGTATGTGTGTGTGTACTGTGTGTTTGCGTGCGTGTGTGTATGTGTGTGTTTGTGTGCGTGTGTCTGTGTGCGTGTGCATTTGCGTGTGTGCATCAAAATATCGCATCTCCGCACTGTGTTTATCTCCCCCCTACAGGCTTTACTCCGTTACACTTGGCTGCCATAGAAGGCCACGACGGAGCGGCGGCGGAGCTCATGGCCAGGGGCGGCGAGGCGAACGCAAAGGGGGGGCAGGGTAAGGCAAGTGAAAAAAAAAAAAAAAAAAAAAAAAAAAACACGGAAGAATGTAAATTAATGGCAGCATAGGTTATCATTTTGAATTATGCATCGCTGTGATTTTGATTTGTTAGCTGTCTTGTCATTATAACGTAATTTCGATATTGTTATTATATTTCTTTTTCCTAATATTCTTATTATCGTTATGTATATGTATACACACAAACACACACACGCACTCACACACACACACACACACACACACATATATATATGTGTGTGTGTGTGTGTGTGTGTGTGTGTGTGTATGTGTTTGTGTAGTGTATGTAATTTAATGCAAAATGAATACATGGGAATACATGTGTGTATACATACGCGTTTCTATGCACCTATTTATTCGTATACGTAAAAAATACTATGTACTTATGTAGGTTATATATTATACATCTTTGTCTCCCACTGACATATCTTCGGAGAACAAAGCAGCACAAAACAAAGACATAAAGATAGTGATAGTGGCGCCGGTTCCTCTCCGCCCAGGTTGGACGCCGCTGCACTGGGCGTCTCGGAAGGGACACGAGAGGGTGATCGACGTCCTGCTTGGCAAGGGAGCCGACGGGGGCGCGAAGACGGACGGAAGTAGGCTATTTTACATGCGAGCTATCTATCTATCTATCTATCTATATAGATAGATAGATAAATAGATATAGATATGT